CCAAATTTTAATTGAGATCTTCATATATGCAAGTTAACACTTATTCCAAGTATCCAGAGAGGAACCTAATTCACTGGGATATAACTTGATAGCAATCAACTAATCACATACCTCTACAGTCTGGAAAGACCTCATTTTCTACTTCGGCGCGAATTTAACATCATTGGAGGATCCCTGTCAGACTAGAACATATTTCAAGCTACTTTGAATGATTCAAACATGAAGATAATCAATAAGCCAATTACTAACAAGAACACTTTCTAAGAAACTCAGAGGACTAATTTGAAAAAGTACTAAATACCCTTTGATGAATCGGATCATGAGTTGACCCGGAAGATTGTAGAGGATTTTGGCCTTTTACAGCTTGTGCACTACCCGCATCAATAGGTGAAGCAATGTTAGATACAACACCCCCTTGCATACCTCGAATATTCAATCCAGGGTTGTTTTGAAGCAATTGACTAAAAAAATGTCGCATTTCTTCTCTAATTTCTTCTCTCATTTCATTCATTTCTTCTTTAAGAGAAGTGATTTCCTTAGCATGTTTTTGTTTTAGCTTGCTATCTTCCTCATCTTTCTTCAAAGAACTTTTTGTCACTGATCAACAATAGCACCTAAGTCGGCCAGGCTGCTCCTTACCAAAAACTGCCTTAAAAGCATCATCAGTAGTTTCCCCAAAATTTTGGCAATTCAGAAGTTCAGCCTATTGAATAAAATTGACATTCATATTATATACAAGTACTTCTAATTTCTCTCTAGCTTAAATGAGTTTATGGTTCATTAAGTTAACTTCGATTGACATCTCTTCAAGCATATTAAAATAAATTATCACCTTCCAAACAATGTAAAATTTTTAAAGCTGAATAAAATTCATCATTAATACACTTTAAAAAACTTACTATTGCAATTTGAGTATCGGCCTAAAGTTCCTTTCCTGTTTCTATACGAGTTGCAATAAACATTTCAGACTTTGATGGTTCCTCATTGTTTTCTTTGGTTGCACTCTACAAATTATATAAAAAGATATTTAAAAATGTATCAATCTATTGGAGGAGTACATATGGATTCAATGTATATGACCGAAGATGCAAAGTATTACCAACGCCACGCGTACTCTTGCAAAACTAATAGGTCCCATTCGATGCCTCAAATTTTGCTTTTTCTTGTTTTGAGAATTCATCTCACATATGGCCTATAATTATATAAAAAGAGATGTTTGATTTAATAAATAAAACAAAAATAGAATCGATATAATCCAAAATAAGTTGAACAACAGAAATGTATTATTTTAGCCTTACTTGAACAGTTGGGTCTTTCCAATACTCGATCAATTGACGGAATTCATCTTCTGCAATGTCCCTAGGACGTTTTGCTAGCATGTCCTCAATGGTACTATTTTTATCAAAAAATCTCTCTTTAATTTTTTTGCTTGTATCGCTTCTAAGCATCACGAAATCCAATCATCACCCACGTTTTTCCTTCTATTGGAATTATGAATTTGAACTATGTAAAATAAAATATAGTTAGCTTCAATCTGTAAAAACAAACAATAAATATGCAATTTAAAAATTAATTGTTCTTACATTGATATATTTTCACATGCGCTTTTTAGTATCTTCTGGCACCGCATGCCAACTAGTGTACATCAAGTTGATGAACCTAGGATTCCTTGAAATTGTTCCTATAAAGTTGGTGAATTCGGACACTATCTTACCAGTTGGTCCCACTGCCTGCCTTTTATCAAATGTCACCTCCTTTCTTTCTTCCAAATTTCTTTCATGAATATCTTTACATGTTGTTTTTCCTCGGACTTTTTTCGCCTCCAATATTTCTTGATTTATGTAACAGTAAGTAAATAAGAAATTTCTTTTATATAAGTGATAAAACTTATAATGCTTAAGACATACCTTCAGTAATACAATGAATGCAAATTTCCTCGTCTATAGCACACTCATCCCTATTGATTTCTTCTTGATCCACAAGATCATCAGCTACTGTGTAGTTATCTGTTTTAATTTCATCGCATATGTGTATCAATTGTTTATTTTGAAACAATTTGAGACTAGTAGCTGGTATGACCGACTTCCTCTTTACCTGCTTGCAGTTTGGTAGATCATTAATATCATGTTCTTTCTGTAGCCGTTGCTCTGCTAGAAACTGATCAAGACTTGTGGCCGGTATGAAAGACTTCCTCTGCACCTGTTTGAAGTTTAATTGATCTTGAATACCATGTTGTACCTCTGAATTACCAAATGTTTCCCCAGTCACATACACTAAATCAATAACACCTTGCTTTGAAGACATTTGCAACCTAAAGTTTTGCATAGGAAGTTTAATTCTTTTATCTTGAAAGGACTCTCCATATTGAAATAATCTCTTCTTAGTTTGTCCTTTCCCAAAAACTATATGTGAAGTACCAAGCTCTTCTCTAGAAGACGATTGAATTGCTGATTTAATGCCAAGCATCTTAATCTTTTCTTGTTGTAGAATTAAATCCTCAGAATTCTTTCTTTTATGCGCTATTGTACATGATCTTTCTTATCTTTATCATTGTGTTCGTTAGCAAGTTGTTCTCTCTTAATCTTGAATTGGTTGGCCAATTCAGTACTTTATCGATATTGCATATCAATGTTAAGATTCTTCAATGGGCTTTGAGCTTTGTTCTGATTCGAACCCTTTTTCTTTAGTGCTGCTGATTGACTCATTATTTCTACCTTCTTTTAATATCATAATTTTTTTCCCAACAGTAAGTTAACCCACAAAACAATAATAATGTTATTGCTAACTAGAAAAAGCAAACCTGCAAAAAGAAGAGGAATAATTTCAATGTGCTAATTAGAACGAGTAGTGAACCAATCTTTAGCTTCCAGAAAATTAAGGGAGTAGTACATAAGGAGGACTGATTTCACTGTGTTGCCTTCACTGCCTTGACTGTGCTGCCTCTATTGTCCAATGCCTAATAGTAATAGGAAAAATAAGAATTTAGATGACAACAACAATTCACATTTACTAATCAGAATGTAATTTGATAAATGTAACATGCATAATCCACATATTACTAACCTTAGTTATACAAGTTGTGCCAACATACAATCAAATAAAATAAATGTAAGCTAGAATTACAGCTTCATCAACAAAACGATAATTACATAAATTAAAGAAGTCCACATAAATTATTGACCAAACAACAATCAGACACATAAACAAAGCCAACATAATACATAGACATCTTAAGGTGTTTGTACAAAAACAGTCAAATAACAAGAAAAAGTGAGTTAGCACTATATGTTAATCATAAAAATAAGAATACTCATTGTGTACTGTCATCTTCAAACTCGTCTTCAGATTCATCAGACTCATCTTCAGAATCATCTTCATACTCATTTTCAGATCGTCTTCACACTCTTCTTCAGATTCATCTTCAAAATCTTCTTCAGACTCATCTTCAAACTCCTTTTCATACTTGACCTTAAGCTGTTGAGTATCAAATTCCTCAAAAGGCACATCAATAACAGTTTCTGGTATATTAGTCCTTACTAAGGGAACTTCACCATCATCTTCTAGTATGCATGGTCCCGTCAAGTGTTCAGACAACTCATTTTCATAATTTTGTGGGAGATCAGATTCAAATATATCACTCATGTTAAACAAGTCTCTTGGCAAAGTCTTCATAACATAATGTATATCTTGATCATATTGATCTTGCACATAGAAGCATTGATGTACATGAGATGCAAGCACAAAAGGCTCTTCTAGAGAGCATCTCTTGTTAAAATAGACATAAGTTAGTCCATACATATCTTTCTCAACCTCATACCAATCACACTTAAAGAGAACAGCCTTAAAATGACTATAATAGTCTAACTCAACTATATCAACTATCTACCATAATATGTCAAATCTGCAGCAATCGGGTTCTTATCCCTTAAGCTTGCAAAGCTCGTAGTTGAGGCACCAAGTGTAACACCACTATTTTGTGTTTTGCGTCTTGCATCACGCTGCCTTATATGGAATCTTTATCCGTTAATGAGATACCCAGAGTATCTTTTAGCAACAACATTTGGTCCTCTAGACAATTGTTTTATCAAATCAGGCACATTTTCAAGCACGAGTTTCAAATCATTGAGAGAAGTTTTGACAATAATCATTGGCCTGCTCCATTAAGATCTTCGTGAATTATTATTAACCTCTTGCATATGCTCTCTACATTACATGTATTTTTTTGTTAAAATAATAATTAAATTAAATATGTTAAAACTTAATTATACAAATAAAAATACTATAATAAAGTAAAGTACCAATTATATTCTTGAATATCATCACAATTTCCCAATAAGTATGCATGTGCCTGACTTAGTGATTTGTTATCGAAAACAAATGGATCAGTTTTCTTTGCTCCTATAGGACATCCCTTAATAGGAAAAAAACTTATTGTTTCTGCATCAATTGGGTCACATTCATCATTATTTCGGTTTCTTCTATTAAATCTTGTTTGTACAGCCCCATTCAGATATCTTGAAAATAAATTCATACAGTATATTCCCACACGTGCCTCTGCTTGCAACCTCCTGGATAACGTCTGTTGCGGATATATGATTTAAATGTACCCATTTCTCTTTCAGTGGAATACATCCATTAGTTCTGAACTGGACCACCTAATCTCACTTCATTCGCCAAATGTATAGGCAGATGAATCATTGTATCAAAATATGACGGAGAAAAAATTCGTTCCAACTGATTTATTGTTTCCCTTATCTCGACTTCTAAGCAATCTAATTCCTCCAATGTGATAACTTTTTGACACAAACGCATAAAGAAGGAGCATATATGAATCAAAGCAATAGCCACATGATCTTGAAGGATGCTTTTAATGGGTATTGGAAGCAAGTAATGTAACATGAAATGAGCATCATGGGTCTTATAACCAGACAATTTCCTTTCATCCAGTTGCACACACCTAGATATATTAGAGGCACTGCCATTAGGTAGCTTGGCCGTCTTTAAAACACCACAAAAACTGATTTCTCTCCATTTGTCATTGAGAAGCAAGCTTTTGCAAACTTTGTTCTCTTATCATCTCCATCATCTTTTGGATGAAGATTATTTCTAATTCCCATCTCTTTTAAATCATACAGGGCTTTTGCATGATCCTTTGTTTTTCCATGAATATCCAAAAGAGATCCAAGAATGCTATCAACTATGTTCTTCTCTATGTGCATTTCAAGGTTATGGCGTAACAAATTGTGCTACCAGTAAGGTTATTAAAAAAAATTGACCTTTTTTTCTGTGGTCCATCATTTGATCTCTTTATCTTCTTTCCAAACATATTTTCAAAATCTTGTAAGTTATGAAGCACATCAGTTCCCTTTAATAAAGGTGGAGGAGGCCTGAATTCAGTTTTTTCATTGAACAATCTTTTGTTAGATCTCCACGGATGATCCATGGGTAGAAAAACACGATGATCCATATAACACATTTTCATACTATGGTTAAGATAGTGAGAATTTGTGTTATAGTTACAACAAGGTCAAGCAAACTTTCCTTTTGTACTCCATCCTGACAACATAGCATATGAAGGAAAGTCACTGATTGTCCATATAAGAGTTGCTCGCATTTGAAAAATTTGATTTCTTGAAGCATCATATGTTTCAACCCCCACAACAATTTTAACTCATCTATCAATGGCTGTAAGTAAACATCAATGTCATTTCCAGGTTATCGTGGCCCAGGTATAAATAAAGAAAGTATAGAATATTCAGATTTCATGCATATCCAAGGCGACAGATCATACATCATCAACATAACTGGCCATGTGCTATGAGATATACTCATGGTTCGAAATGGATTGAACCCATCACTTGGTAATCCAAGTCTCACATTGCTAGAATCTAGTGCGAAATCTGGATGCAACCTATCAAAATCGATCCCATGCTTGACCATCAGCGGGATGCCTTAACTTTCCATCTTTTGAACGCTCCTCATCATTCCACCTCAAAGAATCTTCCGTCTTTGAGCACATAAATAACCTTTTGAGTCTAGGAATTAATGGAAAGTGTCTCAAAGTCTTTGCTGAAACTTGATGTGATTTTTTAGAAGACTCAACCTAACCATCATTACTTAACAACATGAAATCATTTGGACATGCATCAATTTTCTCATAATCAAGGCCGAGATTCTTAACCATAGACTTGGTATTATTGTAAGAGGGAGGAATGTTGAACTCGGGCATCACCTCTTTTAATAACTCTAAAAGAGAAGTGAATGATGGTAGTCACTTCAACAAATATAAACGAAGTGTGAATGATAATTTAGAGAATCCTGTACAACCAGGATATAATTCTTGGCTTGCCTCTTCAACTAAGTTATAATATTTCTTGACATCGTTATTTGGACCATTATAAGCTCTTTTTGCCTGTGCAACATCTCTAAATTGATCATTCAACAATCCATCAATAACATCACGCGAGCAATCCATATCATCTTCAACATTCAACTTCATATCCCATTCTCCATGATTGATCCATCTAGTATAACCTTTAACAAATCCATAGAATATTAGATGATCATACACTACATTCCTTCGAGTCCAACGAATATTACAACAATTTTAACAAGGGCACTTAATTTCCTCTCCGTGAGGATTTCCATAAGAGTAAGCAAAATCTAGGAATGATTCCACACCATCAATATAGGGTTTGCTATACCTTGCTAAATTCATCCAATCCTTGGATGAGATATTTTAATTCCGATAAGAAGATATAAATATTTGATATTTCAATAAGAATCATTAAATTCATGATTAAGTTACAAAAATCAGTTATCATGAGATGATAATAGTTTCTTACGTAGTCATTACACTTGTGTATGCCAAATATAACTTTGAATCCTCCACAAATGTTTTTGAATGTTTATTTTGGTTCTAAGGGAAAATAAGTAAAATTAATAGGATAGAAAGAATTAAGAAAGGCAGTGAATTAATGGGAATGACAAAATTAAACAAACTAATCAAGAATAAGGAAATCTTTCAAGAATCTTGGAGTGTTCAAAGCTTAACAAAATCTTGTGATAAGGTCTGCTGGAAACCTGATTTTAAAGAGTTCATTAATTTTACTGCAATTGTTATGTAGCCTTCCAAAATCTAAAAATGGAAGAAAACCATTAAAACGATCTAAAGCAAGTAAGTTGAACTAGCTTTTAAGTCTAAAATTTACTGCATTTTACATTAGGAAAAACATGTATTGATGAATGTTATATGTGCCATCAGACACAGTTGGAGAGTGCTAGGCATCTATTTTTGCACTGTTAAGTAGCAGCTGGCATATGGAGCATTTTCTTATCAGTTTTCTTATCTAATGTAGTTAACTGCCATGAGTCACCCTATAATCAAAACCTACCTGGACTACAAAAAAACTCAATTTACTTCATCAAAAAATTATTCACAAAAAAAAGTGGAGCTAACATTGAAGACTTTATATAGCTTAATCTATCTGTGAAGTGATATTCTTGATTTCTATTCCTAGTTCTTGTTCAATTCTATATCTCACAGTTAGATAGATACGATTAGTAGTAGTAGAAATCAACACGTAGAGCTTAATGATCTAATATAAAAGAAATGAACATAATTAATACATACAAAGTGAAGTGATCCTCAAAAGTAACAAGGCTAACAGCTAAACCAAGCTTCACAAATCTCCCTGATCGTCCAACCTGTAAAATAAATTACCAATGATGAAATAACAAAAACAATATATAAGTCAATAAGCAAGATCAAAGATTTGTTATACATACCCTGTGCAAATACTTTTCTGAGTTCTTAGGGAAATCAGAATTGATAACAACGTTAACTGCTTGAATATCAATTCCTCTAGTAAACAAATCTGTTCCATCAAGAAAGAACACAAAATTAAGAAATTTAACAATTAATCAATTTGAAATTTTAGCTGTAAGAGCCCCAAAAGTAATCAATTTATTCCAAACAGAAAACAAAAGTAATTTCTAAACACAAGCTACTGATCCAAACAAGTTCATCAAAAGAATAAATCCTAGTAGTATAACCAAATTGGCTACTTAATGTACTTATCGATGAGTATTACGAATGATTAGCATTATAAACCAAAGAATCCCATCACCTTCTAGGTTCCAAGAAGCAAATAAATAATGGAATGCTATCCAAAACTGAAACAAGACGGAAATATAAAAATATTAAAGCATGCTGGAAATGGATCTGTTGAACTTTAAACTGTTACTTAGAAGCAAATAGGGACAGAAATCAGAAACATCTGAAAATATGAAGCTATGTTCTGGATTAAGAGAAGAACTACAAAGAATTATTATCATACATTTTCACCAAATTCTTTTCATATTTTAAAAGGCCAAACAGCTTGACAGAACTGATATTACTCATGGACAAATGCAGTCAGTAAATAAAATTACGGCAGTAAAATGAAGACATACTGGAAATTATTCATCAATACTCAGCAGTCATGAAGTAAAATTACAGCATTCACTAGAAAGGCGGCATGTAGTACAAAATCTCCAGCAACTCATTTGTAGGTTTGAATTCTTTTGGTGCAAACATATTTTTCGGGAAGCAAACTAAACAGCTACCTAACTAGCCAAATGAAGCCACATATTAGACATTATTGATCAATAATACACAGAAAAACAATACCCTCTACTACTAAGGGTAGCTATTTTTTAGAAAAAAAACATAGATGAAAAACTTTAGGATGAGAAAGCTCAAGAGAATGAAACACACACCTTAAGAATCCAGCTTGAACCCTGAAATAATCAGAATCAGAATCATATGTTATGGTATGATCAGAATTATTGTGCGTTTCGAGTACATTGTTACCATTCTTGATTCTAATAAATACATAATAATAACTACAAAATTGTATGACATTGTATGTCATTATTTTATGGATGAAATATAGTCATTTTACTGTTAAGAGATTAGAAATACCTTGATTTTGATGTCTACATAATGTTAGTTTCCTCTCAGCAAAACCTGAAATAGCAGAGAAGATTTTATGGTTTAGAAAAAAATTGATCGAAGTGTTCGTATGCAAAAGTAAATAACTACAGAAATAATATCTTTATACAAGAAACAAGAGATTTTATTTCTTTTAGAGGAAAAATAAAAACTGTAGCATGCTATTTTGTAAGGGTAATGAACAGTGAGACATCACTCTTACATTGCAACTTTACTAGGCAACTGCAATGTAATACAAATATTTTTCAGTACTACCTAAGTACTATTTTGAAATAAAAATGTTACTAGTTTAAAAATAATTTTATAGAAAACATGTCTTTTACTATATATTCTTGTAGATTTCAGATTCCGTGAAGTATTTCTATTAATCGAGATCACATATCATATTCTTGGAACATAAAAAAAGAAATATAATAAACCATATAAATTGAGTTGATAAGGATAAACAAAATAAGGAAGTTTCTTTCTAAATAAGAAGACAGTATGCTTAGAACATAAAAAATCAGAAATATATTTAAGCATATAAAATTTTTCAGTTGGTTAGTCATCATTATATCTCCAATCTCAATGTGGAAAAAGGGGAAGATGATACACATTGATTAAACTATCCAAAGTTACAAAAACATAGAAAATGATGAATCATTGTCTACTCCCAAGGCTGAAACATCTTCCTACACTATTATCCAATCATTTTCTGCTTGATTAAGAAAAAATCAGGCTCAAAATGATATCCCTATTGATTTGGCGACTACTATTATCACTACCAAGCAACAACTACCGGCTGAAGCAACAACTACACACACAAATCAGCAACCAGATAAGGAGAAGACAAATGAGCTATGAGATGAGCAATGGAATGTTTGAAATAAGGAGAACTACAGGCACAACCGACACACTTTAGGAAGAAATAATTAGGTAAGACACTTAACTCTACTACTTCTACTCATAATAACTATTATGATCTTTTTTTCATGATCAAACTAATAACCAACAAGAACAAGAAAACCACCTTCTCAATTGGATGCATCAATAAAGGAAATACATCAACAATCCAACTAAAGAATGATTTAAAAAAAGAACAACTAGAAAAAATTGAGGAAAATAGAGTCGAGAGATTCCAGAAGAGAGAAAGAGAGAGAAAAGCCAACAGAAAGTTAATATTAAACCATCAATACAAATTATTGCTAGAAACTGCGCATCAAGATGCGGCCTACTCTCGACAAATTATTCTCAGTTGAGCAACCAACTATGCTCAGATATTTCACAAAATTGGGAAATGAAAAGGGACAGTGTCTATAGCTGCAAACCAGAATAGCATACAACATCAACAACAACAATCTAGTTGGATAAACTAAATGAATCCTTAACGTCCCTTCCACTCAATTGGGACCTATTTTTTTCTAATACTCGGTCACACCACTTACAACACAATTTAGTTTTCCCTACCAAGATTTGGTTTGAGCTTACCAGAACCCAATTTACTCAATAAGCTCTACACCATTACAGCCTACAGATAAGCATGAAGCATAATGAATGAATCTTACTGCAACAAAGTTAATATTGACTTAAAGGAATTATCTAAACATCAAAAAAGGCAATGCAAAGCGAATTGCAGTTTATTAAGAGTACACTACGAATCATAAATAAATTCCCAGCAAACAAAAAATAATTATAGCCCAAACATAACTTAAACAATACATAAAGATGGAGTTACACTCTTAGATATATTCTTAATAAATAGTACATATAAAATACAGATATTTATGATGGTCAAAAATGTGGAGGAGGTGGAAACAAGTGAGAAAACTCTTTAGGGACATTCTTTATTTGGTTTGTTGAAATACAAAAGAAGAAAATAATAAAAACAATTCAAAATATAAAACAAGGACTAGAACTAAGGAATCTTGTACAAAATAAATGAAAGCTAGAGGAAATTTAATCACCTAAATGAGTTATCATTATTTTGGAAATACCAACAGAAAGGAACTGACTTCTCACTTGACACGAGGTATCAAAATTACGAGGGAAAATAAATGAAGATGCAAATTAAAAAATAGCATGCTCAACCACTGTCCAAACAAGGATAAAAATCTCACAAAACTAAACATGAACTTTAAACTGAAATTATCTCAATATTGGCATTAGTGGCAGATACATTGAAAACCACAAAAGAAAAGATAGAGAATGTCATCTTTAAGTTGATTAAACACGGACTTAAAGAGAAGAACATTTGAAGTAAATAGGCAGCCAACTCATGCTAGTAAGAGGGTCACTTTTGTGCTTATAGCCAAAACGACTGAATTAGCTAAAGTTACTATCTATACTTGAAAATGCACTAGAGAAACAACAAAATGACTTCTTCACTCTTCAAGACATACAGTCGAAAACAAAAAAAATGTTCCAGAAAAAAGAGACAACACAAAATCATTGTGATTAACAAATGAACAAACAAAGATTAAGGCGAGCACAGTAAAATAAGCAGTGACCACAGATTAAAACAAACATTATAGCAAGAAAGATCTTAAACATGGACAAGCAACAATACCAGCAATCAGAATAAGAACAAGGAAAATCTTAAGCATCTGCAGAAATTAACATGAAAAGTAAAAGAAAATCTTAATGTTTACGAGCTACACTCCAAAAATAAACTGATGAAACTAAAATACAAGTCACACTCTCAAAAGTTGCATAAAAACACAAGAATATAAAAACCCTAAAGTTAAAATTTAGAATTTCAAAATTAAATTTCTTACCTGATAAACCCAAATCAAACAAAATCTCTTTGAAATCGTGTTCTTCAGTGAGACACTTGAGAGAAAAGTGTGACGGAGAGACTAATTAGCTTCAGTTCATCATCATGTCAACAACCCAACAATATTCATTTCTTTTATACACAAAACAAAAAATCAAACACTTCAGCTAACAAGAAGACTGTTATAGAAGTACCACTTCAGGCAAAAATAAAACACTTCAGCTAAAATCAAATAAGTTTCAAAAAACAGAATCGTTCTTACTCTTAAAGAAATCGTTCTTACTCTTCAAGGAATCGTTCAACTCTTCAGCTCAATTCATCGAATCTTTAGCTTGTATCAGAAAAGAGAACTACTTCTTCAGCTATCTTCACCTCTCTTCACTTCGAACCTTTTGTTCTTCAGCTTGTATCAGAACCTTTAGTTCTTCAGCCAATTCTTCTGCTGAAAAGAGAAACGTGAAAAGGAAAGTATGAAAGAGGAAAGTGAAGTCAAAATGCTTTGTTAATTGTTTAATTTTTTTTGTCAATAAAAATAGGAGGGAGTGTTAAAAATATTGGAGGGAATATAATATTTTAGTGAAAAAGTTTAAGGCAACACTTATAAAGTGTTTTTTTTCAATTATAAAAATAGTACATTTTAGAATTGTGGTCATATTTGTAAATAGGTGTTGCCAATTATATCACATTTTAACAACACTTATAAAGTGTATCTTATATTATTAAAGAGTACACTTTTGAAGCGTTGCCAAAATTATTGTAGCTAAAAGTTAAAAAAAATTTCTACGCTTTAAAAGTGTTCTGAAAACTCGTTTAGGCAACATGGTGTAGTGGGGGTTCCTATTTCTAAGTAAATGAAAATAACTAGCGAAATTGAAAGAGACACTTAACAGCTTCAAATGTTGGAGTTTAATCAATTAATAAAAGTAACTAGGCTTTACGTGTTCCCCACAGGTTCATAACTTGATAAGTCTAACTATAACAATTCTTTCCTAGTATCTTGCATAAAAAGTGATAAGCTATGTATTTCTAAATCCTTGGTCGGGCATCTAGAAAATTTCACTCCGCACCTTGGTCTGGCTATGTGTGTTGCTATACTAACCCTTATCTTTACCTCATATCAATCATCGTATTCTATATTTGACTAAGTTATTACTTCGTACCAATCAATACTAGCCTATTATATAGTATACAATAAATGTATGTTGATGATTCTTTTCCTATTATCTACCCCCTTGGTCCGACAAGTAGCATCATGGCGAGTTCTAACGGTAGCCATCCGTTAAAAATACTTCTAAGCGAAAGAATTATCAATACATGCAAGACACTATTCTAGAATTTTTATTTTAGTTAGGTTTTACTTTATTATTTGCCAATGCTTCCCACAACCCTTGTTATGGAGGTTAGTTACCCATAGTCATAATGACAATATTCAAATATATGGTATAAGAATTCATGTACTTACTTCAATGATAAAGAGTAAAATCCGAAAGTTTGCTTGATTAATCAACAAAAATCACCAACAACCAATTACAAGAATCTCAAAATAAGAAAGAATCTCACAAAAGGTCTAACAAATAATCAAGAGTCTAGCAATAATCAAGGGCCTAACCAAATTATCTAGAGTCTAACCACAAAATCAAGGTTTTTCGAAATATTTATAAAAAAATAAAAACCTAATTACATAAGGACTCTATTTGTTGGAAATCTGTCAAAACGCGGCTCGATCGACGGGCATCGTGACGGATCTTCGTGGTCACGACGGACCGTCATGGACTCCGTCGTCCCATAGATGCAATCTCTTCTGCTGCTCTCTTCATTACCCTCGACGGCAGGTATGACAGATGGTCATAGGCCGAACAGTCCGTCGAGGGTCTCCGTTCCAAAACACTTGAACTCTTGGAATATGGGTACTGGACTACTTCTCTGAACATAATGACGAACCTGCAGGACGGACCTTCATGGATACGACGGTCTCTCATGCATTCCGTAACCCCACACTTGGTAAGACTTCCCCATTTTCTTTCAGTAGATGCACTACGCTGCCACCTACGGACCGTCACGAGCATGACGGACCGTCACAAGCGTCGTAGGTGGTCTCTTCTGCATTTCTTCGCTCAAAAACTTCCGCATTCATCTTTGGACAGATTTCCTGCAAATAAGGAGAAACTTATATAAAAATTAGCACAAAAAGGCTTTTGGACACACTAAACTTAAGGAAAAAATAATAATAATACCGTGAAACCACGGTATATCACTTACGCGGATTTTTAGTAGTTTTAAGAATATGATGATTCCATTATGATTTTTTATTCTTTTGTACTAAGGCCTATATGGCATAATTACTCTTTATTGGCTAAGTTTATATTTGTACTCTTAGATGATTTTAATTTATGTGAGACGAGAAGTTTTTAGAATATTGTATATCATTTAAAATGTACAGTATTGCAACATTCGAGAAAAAATTCAAATCTAGTGAAGAGCTCAATAAATGTTTAAGAATGCGTATTGGGATACATAGGCATCTCAATGCCCAATACCGAAACATTGGGCATATTATAGAAAATTTATAAGGGGTATTAACCAATTTCTATATAATACCCAAATAGGCAAAATATTAGGCATATTAGAAAATATTGGCTTAAGGGTGTTAGAAAATTTTCTATGTATGAGCAAGTAAAATACATTTTGGGTTGTCCTACCCAATCCAAGATTCATTGTCCAAGAAATGTACCTGCAATAAAGACCCTAAGCTAAAAACAAGTCCTCAACAATATACATTAAGTACCACATGATCATGTAAATTAAGAAGTGCCCAATGACATAGTGAGGGTCCTTGGGACAATAAGTAAATATTTCAAATAGGACATCAATAATAGTAAGTTAGTAAAGTACAAAAAACCCATGTGCAAGCACATGGGCAAAGCATGTGAGAAAAATCCAAGAGGGAACCATCCTAACTGAATTTGCTTAGGGTAGTTAAGGGTGGCAGGTGAGAACATGGGTTCACCCATGTGGGTCCTAGATATATAACTAATTTTATACTCTAAAAATATTCCCTAACTAATTAACTAACCTAGGATAAATAAAAATAAATTATCTAGTACACCCGACAACCTCAGACTTAATTGGGTGATCTAACTTAGTAACTAGTAAAAGAGACAACCTAGTACCTAACCTAGGATTGTCTAAAGTGTTGGTTATGGTCCTAAAAACTTAGGGATACTTTATTAATAACCCTAGGTTACTTAATTAATTAATTTAGCAGCTTCATTGATTAATTTAAAAGGGCAAATCGAAATCACAAAGCAATTTCCACATTTCGGGTAAAACAAGAAAAAGACAACCTACTACTTAACCTAGAATAGTCCAAAGGGTTAATTATGATTATAAAGACTTAAGAATAGTTTTATAATTAACCTAGTACATTTAATTCATTAAATTATCCATTTAATTAACTAAATTAAAGGGGACGAACCGAAATTTTTACACTAACCTAGTATAACTCAAGAAACATTCTAGTACTTAACCTAGGATGGTCCAAAAGAGTTATTTATGGTTTTAATGACATAGGGGTACTTTATTAATAACCCTAGGTCCCTTAATTAATTAAATTATCCATTTAATTAATTAATTTAAAGGGGTCAAAATGAAGTTCTTAGGAATAATTTCATATTTGACTAAGTGTTGTGTTTTCCTAGTTCTAGTCAATCTAGGTGGGGATTTTTATTAATTAACTAATCAATTTATTTAATTAACTTAATTATCCTAAGTTAAATAATTCAAAGTCATTCCCTGAGACTTAGACTCACTTTCAAACACTAATAATTTCACAATGCAAATCAGCAAACGAACAAAAGGAAAATAGAAAAGTTTCTGTCAACTTCTCTTAGGAGATTTCATTGTTTTTCTTAAAGGTTTTGTGCAAGGTGTTCTTCGTAGATTTAATAATACATAAGTTATGGGTTTCTCTCTTAGAATTCTTTATCAAAGAGTACTTTCCATCATACTGAATCAATGAAGTCTCAAAAACTAGGGTTGCTCCCAAGGTTCTCGATGAACCTTCCCTTTCCCTAGAATCCTTGTTACTATTTCAATGTTGAATATATTAGTATTGATCATGTTTTTTGTATGTGATTCAGGCTGATATTAATGTGTAGGGTTCTTAATTAAATAATGTTGAATTAACCTATGAATTGTATTTGTATGACATAAGTGTTCTTAAGTGAATTAAAGAATGATGTCATGCTAAATTATGTTCGAATACATTATGTGTGATGTGTGACGTCTCAATGCATAGTTACTATTAACGTGATTTATGAAGATGTTATGTTAATTACAGTGTTAACATGACGCTCTCCATAATGGCTAATAACGTTATTCCTAAAATCATAATTGAAGATTGGTTTAAAAGGTCTCCATGGAATCACGTTGGATTGCATGTTTGCCTTATGCCAATAAAATGGCACAAGACATTGTCTAAGAATGATGAATGAAATTGGCTATAATGTAATCGTTAAATTATTAAATGATTGGATTGTGAATAAGGTATAATAACTTATGTATGAATGAATGTAACTTTGGCTTATGACAATAAAGATGGTTATGTAATCTATACCCAATTATTAATGCCAATACTAATCTTATGCCAATCACATATAGACAAAAGAATAAAATTACAACTCAACCACTCCTAAAGTAATTCAATGAATCCTTATCCACGGGCATGCCATTGATTAGGACAAGTCCTAACATGTTCTAAAATAATGAACAATGAACTTATGTAATTCCTTGAATGAAATGCTCATCGTCCATAAATGATAATATGAAGCTACCAAACAAAAGTAAGCAAGTAACGTGAGTAATAACATAACTAAAGATGTCTCAGTTAAGAAAGTGACTAGAATGAGGTGTTAAAAGAAGTGAGACAAGCCTCACTTACACCTAAGCTACTATGTTAAAAATACTGAAGAATAAAGGTGTTAGAACATGTGAGACAAGTCTCATTAACACCAAAGATGTTATGTAAGTACAATTAACATTTCATCAACGTAAATAAAAGGATGACAAGTCATCAATAGAGTAAGTAAATATCAATATAGAAGCAAGTTTCCATAATGTTTGAGTCAACTCTAAAACATAAGAAAACAATGAAAGTGACCAATACACTTATAGACTAGTTATGAGAATGTGCTCGCACATATAAGTCTAATGAGACGAGGCTACCACCGAGGTGGATAAGTAGTCTCCTTACGTCCCTAGTCTTTGAACTATGTCTAGTCAACATAGGAACTAGCCTATGGTTTCCACCTAAGAGAGATACATATGTTTCGATCTCACCTTGGCCGGTGAGATCACCTCTTTTCGGTGTGGGGTAGACACTGGATTTCATGTTTAGCTCACATGATCTATGTCGGTTAATGCTCAAAAAGATTTTCTTGGTTCACTATAGCCGTGAGCCAGTCCCTTTTAATATGGAGTAAAGACTTGATACAGAATCACTTTAGCCGATGAATCACCCCTTTTAGGTGTGAGGCAGACACTGGATTTCATGAGTAGCTCATATGATATATATTCATTTTAATCAGTGAATAACCTCCTTTCGATGTGGGGAAGACACTGGATTTCATGTTAGCTCGTAATATCTTACTTCTAAAGATATCTCTAAGAAATAAAGAAAGAAAGATTATGGAACGTATGTTCAAAGTGAGCTATGAAAGTAAGAGCTTAAGAATGACAATTTCCAATATGATTACTAATGAAGTTTCAACAAATAATGGGCAAAGCCAAATAAAATTGGCTTATAATGACTTCTTGTATGATGCCAATAAAGGGGATTAGAAACATAATAGCAAATAAAAGCTTAATAACTCCCCTAGTATGAAAATGATGAAATAAGTGGCATATCCAATAGATATTGGATTATGAAGTGTTAATGAATACATAATGTAATGAATGACTCATTGTAAGGATAGTAAAGTTATTCCATAGTACTTGGATTACTTACTTGATTGATTGTGGGTATGGGACTACAATGAATCATTGCACTTATAACTAAAAATAGGACCAAAGGAATTATTGAACTACACAACAACAAGAAGAAAAAGACCGAAAAATAAACAGTGTAAAGAGTAGAGCTCTCAGGTTTAGGGGATACTAAAATTTCAAATCTTTGCCCGAGTTGTTATAAAAATATGTTGATGATTCTAATGTGTCGTAATCACATTGAAAATGAGTTGTGTTCTTTGAATGCATTAATTACATCATATTCATACAACAATTCACAACTAATGAATTAGGAAAGTCTAGTGACTGTACTTTCCAGAAATAGCAAGTTGTTTAGGAAGAGCTTTCCTTGATCACGCATAGCCTTATGTGTATATGTGCATACACCCATACATAGTACAAGTGGTGT